TTACGACCGTGCAAATCTTTCGGTCGTTTTTTAACCCACTTCCCGTGATCCAATCGAGCTGACATTTTGCACACAGACTCGTTGTGCGTGACAATTAATTTTCGTGAAGAAAGTTTTTCCAAAATTTCCCACCTTTTTAGGAAAAAAAACAATTATCAACATGAATTAAACAGAGGGGATGAAAGGGGAAAAACATATATTTTTTTATTGTGAGTTTATTTACGAAGTCTGTACATAAGCCAGGTTTTCATCATGCTACATGTAGCCCCAGTGGCCTAATGGATAAGGCACTGGCCTCCTAAGCTAGGGATTGTGGGTTCGAGTCCCACCTGGGGTTGCTGAGAAAAAGCTGTTCATTTTGTAGACGTCAAGTTTATGAATCTGACGATGAGAAGCGAAGGGTGGTACTGTGCCGATCGAAGAGAGTGTGAAATCCGTGTACTTTGGTGACAGGAATCAACACTGATAAAGCAGAGGGGACGAAAGGGGGAAATACATATCCATTTTTAAATCCTTTATATTAAGTTCACTTGCTTGCGCGCTTACGACCGTGCAAATCTTTCGGTCGTTTTTTAACCCACTTCCCGTGATCCAATCGAGCTGACATTTTGCACACAGACTCGTTGTGCGAGACAATTTATTTTCGTGAAAATTTTTTTTCAAAATTTTCCACTTTGTAGGAAAAAAAAAATTCACTAACACAATCATATATTTTTCCTAAACACAGAAAATTATTCTTGATAGTGTGTCAACACACTATAAAAATGAAACTCTTACTCAAGAAAAACAGAAATGAATAAAAAAAAATAAAACCGATGCCACACATATACAGGATTTATAGTGAAAAACTTTGTTTTTACGGGTTAATTTTTTTAAAGTCCTATTCTTCTTCCCTGTCGGCTTTCATTTGTCATTCACAATCAGAGTTTGTGGTGTAAAGTTTTGGCAACCCTTCGCTCTGGATCGTATTTTGCTGGGAGGCACAAAATGGGGACCTCCTCATATTTCAGTGTGCATGTACACAGGATTTAATAACAACTCGCGAGATGTCCCAACAGTCTGTCTCGCTCGCGTTCTCTTTTTTATTTTTATTTTTAATCACATTTGATGAAGATATGTTTTCTTGCTGTTCAGATTCAAAATTGTTTTCAAATATTATTTGTCACTTATTCTTAAAGATTTTTAATAGTGTATGTTTGTTCCCACCAATCGCTGCACAAGTTAAGGATACGTATGATGACGTAAGCACGTTAGTGTGAGCCCTCCCGGAAGCCATAGAGAATGCATTGGAGCGCCCCCCGTTCGAAAAAAAACATCTTTGAATGTAAGTCTATGGGAACACTCGGGGCGATTCTCAGCCGGAGTGAAATCGCCCAAAAAGAGGCGGTACTCCACAGAACGTGACATGACGCTGATTGGACTATATCCAGAGACACAGTGACGGCTAGCGTGACTCTGTGGTTGGATGAGATTGGTGGTGCGTCGCCCAATCGCCCTAATGAAGAAACCGCCCCTGGTCTATGGTTCTCTCTGTGTATGAGTGAGTCTATGGGTCTCTGTGTATGAGTGAGTCTATGGGTCTCTGTGTGTGAGTGAGTCTATGGGTCTGTGTGTGTGATGAGTCTATGGCTCGCTCTGTGTGTGTGAGTGATTCTATGGGTCTCAGAGTCTGAATGACTCTGTCTTCTCGACAGACCTGTTCTCTGTCGAGAAGACAGAGTCTGAATGTGGGGGGGTGGGAGGTTGAAACTTATGGAAACATTTGTAATAGATTGACGGTGATCATTGCCACGAGTGTGTAAAAGAGAAGTGAACGCATCGCCTGTGGCGAACGCGGGGATCGAACCCGCGGATCGAACCCGCAACCTTCCGCATGGGAAGCGAGGGCGCTACCCACTGCGCTACTCGCCCAGGGCGTGAAGGTATCAAGCTCAGGGCTCCTACACGGTGACGTTCAGCCTAATCCATGATGAGTTCTAGATATGAAGCTTTCAAGTTCAAGTTCATGTATTAGGTGTAGCCCTGTGAGCCATTCGGCTCTTGAATCGGGTGCAACCGCAACAAACAAAAAACAAAGACATGAACAAAAAACATCTTAAAGTGAATATGTGACTAAGAGCAAACAGAAAACCAAGAACAGACAGAAAAATATTGCAGAAAAAAACACCGTACACCAACGCTGTGTGCAAATATCCCAGTGGGATGCAAGTCAAACAACAACAACAATAAGACAACTTAGATTAAGGCCATCAGTCTAACTCTGTACTACAACAAACAAACATGGCTAAACCAATACACTTTTCGAAATCACCAAAATAAAGCCATGAAAGCAAAATTTCGATCAACAATGTTTCTTTTAATAAACAGCAAATCCCAATCAAGCGGTCAGTGCCTTGCCCAATGGACTCACCAAATGTGTAACGTTTTCTATTTGAATAAATGTAAAATAAGTATAACCCGTAAAAACAAAGTTTTTCACTCTAAATCCTTTATATGCGTGGCGGCTAGAGTCCTCTCGTCCTCTGGCTTGAGATGGTTGCCACCTATGGGTCAGATGATTGTCTGCAGTATTAAGCAATTGGTAATTAAATATTTAATTTGTTTTCCCTAAACAGTGTAAAATTTTGTAAAAATTTTCTAACGAACATTAATTGTCTCGCACAACGAGTCTGTGTGCAAAATGTCAGCTCGATTGGATCACGGGAAGTGGGTTAAAAAACGACCGAAAGGTTTGCATGGTCGTAAGCAAGCAAGCAAGTGAACTTAATATAAAGGATTTAAAAACATATTCGCCTGTGGAGGACGCGGGGATCGAACCCGCGACCTCTCGCATGGGAAGCGAGACTGCGCCACTCGCCCAGCGCGTGAAGGTGTCACGCTCTGGGCTCCTACACGGTGACGTTCAGCCACATCCATGATGAGTTCCAGATTTGAAGCTTTCGTGACTGCAATGATTCATACTCTTAGGCTTTTTTCGGTAAAGTCGCTTATTAAATTGTAGATTTGAAGCTTTCGTGACTGCAATGATTCATACTCTTAGGCTTTTTCGGTAAAGTCACTTATTAAATTGTAGATTTGAAGCTTTCGTGACTGCAATGATTCATACTCTTAGGCTTTTTTCGGTCAAGTCGCTTATTAAATTGTAGATTTGAAGCTTTCGTGACTGCAATGATTCATACTCTTAGGCTTTTTCGGTAAAGTCACTTATTAAAGCATAAAACCCACGACGTTTCGATCACAATACATTTACATAATGTATTAATGACGTCAGTTAGAGTAGCCACTCGTTGTGGGAGGGGCTGTTGCTTGTACCCCGGGAGTGACGTCATGTCACCTGCTGCCGCGTGACGTCACAGGCTGCAGCTTCGCGCGTGCAGTGAAATCCGAGGTGAGAAATTCTCATCGCGGTTGTTGTGGTTGTTGTTGTTGTGCTTGTTGTGGTTGTTGTTATTGTTGTTTACCAAGCTAGAGCCTCGCTCTCTCTCTCGTAGGGATGTCACTAGAGCAGCAGCAGCTTGTGAATCGATGTCCAAGTTGGAACTTTACAACGCGGGGCCTAGACACGCGGGGCCTTGCCTCCTGCCCTCGCCTGGTCGCGTTTGCTTTAATTCCCTCCCTTAAGTTTAATTTGTCTTCACGCGGCTCGCTACTTTGTCACTTTGGTTTATTGTAGATATTGACGCAGTTTTTTTTTCGTTTTTTTACCAGCCCAAGCCCCCCTGAGCTGCTATACCGCTCTTGTTTACAGAAGCTACCTGCCCACAACACAAAGGTGGGTTTTGTCAACGCGTGTCTCGGTGTTTTGACTTAAAACTTTAGTAATTGCAGCAATTCATATTCTTGGTTCTTTCGGTGAAGTCACGGAGATAGAAAATTTAGTAAAAATAACATAATAAAATGAATAAAAGTAAACAAAATTGTAAATAAATCAAAAAACCCCACGACGTTTCGACAACACAAATGGCCTTTATTTGATGTTATTATCTGTTGTTATTGTCTATCTACGTAACTTTACCGAAAGAACCAAGAATACTTGTGGAAATGTGTATCGGTCAAAGACGCTGCACGCGTGCTGATGTTGACTCTAAATGTGGAGGGGAAACCCGGGAGATTCGGAGGAAAATCCACGCGACCACGGAGAGAGAGACACGCAAACTCCAAATATACAGCAGCAGCAGCAGGCGTCAGGGTCGGGATCGAACCCACGACTTCCTGTATACCAGGTGAGGTAGTTAACATCTCACCACGGAGAGAGAGAGACACGCAAACTCCAAATATACAGCAGCAGGCGTCAGGGTCGGGATCGAACCCACGACTTCCTGTATACCAGGCGAGGTAGTTAACATCTCACCACGGAGAGAGAGAGAGAGACACGCAAACTCCAAATATACAGCAGCAGCAGGCGTCAGGGTCGGGATCGAACCCACGACTTCCTGTATACCAGGCGAGGTAGTTAACATCTCACCACGGAGAGAGAGACACGCAAACTCCAAATATACAGCAGCAGGCGTCAGGGTCGGGATCGAACCCACGACTTTCTGTATACCAGGTGAGGTAGTTAACATCTCACCACGGAGATACGAGGGCTTCCAGGCATTTTTATGACCATTTGCCCTCTCATTGTGTGCAATAACAGCCTGTGTGATGAATTTGGGAAACTTTTTCACTACATCATGAATATATGAATAAGTATAGACGTGTAAGTCACGTGTGACTGTGTATATGCATTACTCTGTGTCTGACGTGTAGGTGGTGTGGATATAATTTTTTTCTGTCTGCAGCTGTCGCTTGGTCTGATGGAGCAAAGGCGCTCAGCACAGCTCAGTACGGCAAGGCAACAATGCGACCGGCGTGGATACAGCACGGAGCGGACTGGAAATTTGACACAGCACCAGAGAGCTCACGCAGGAGAGAAACCCTTCAAGTGCAGTGTGTGTGGGAAGGCATTTTCACGGTCATATTATCTTAAAAGACACCAGAGAGCACACACGGGAGAGAAACCCTTCAAGTGTAGTGTGTGTGGGGTGGCATTTTCACAGTCAAATAATCTTAAAAGATACCAGAGAACACACACAGGAGAGGAACCGTTCAAGTGTACTCTGTGCGGGAAGGCATTTGCACAGTCATCTTCTCTTAAAAAACACCAGAGAATACACACGGGAGAGAAACCCTTCAAGTGCAGTGTGTGTGGGAAGGCACTTTCACAGTCATCTGTTCTTAAAAGACACCAGAGAACACACACAGGAGAGAAACCTTTCAAGTGTACTCTGTGCGGGAAGGCGTTTTCTTTTTTACATCATCTCATAAGACACCAGAGAACACACACGGGAGAGAAACCCTTCAAGTGCAGTGTGTGTGGGAAGGCATTTGCACATTCATCTACTCTTGTAACACACCAAAGAACACACACGGGAGAGAAACCCTTCAAGTGCACTGTGTGTGGGAAGGCATTTTCACAGTCATCTTCTCTTATAAAACACCAGAGAACACACACGGGAGAGAAACCCTTCAAGTGCACTGTGTGTGGGAAGGCACTTTCACGGTCATCAGATCTTAAAAGACACCAGAGAACACACACGGGAGAGAAACCCTTCAAGTGCATTCTGTGCGGGAAGGCGTTTTCAGATTCTTCCAATCTTCAAGTACACCAGAGAAGACACAAGCATCAGAAGATCCACAAGGACTGGAGTGTGAAATCAGCTTGTGAAAGTCAAAGTGCTGCAATGAGCCCATCCCTCATCAAACAAGAACCGGAAGAAAATCCCAGCTTGGACACTTTTAAAGGTAACGAGGTGAAATATGAAGAGGTGAAGGTGGAATGTGAAGAAGTGATGGTGAAGAGTAAAGAAGTGAAGGTAAAGTGTGAAGATGAAGATTCAAGTCCAGAATGTGACCTTCACATGGATGGAGGCAACGTGAAGCAGGAGGAGAATTCTGACTGAGGCAGAGCGAGGCAACTCCCAGCAGTTTGTGGAAGTGGAGGTGTCGGTGGACTTCCTCCGAGACAATACAAAGTGAAATGGAGACCCGGTAAATGTGTAAGCCAGAGACGATGTCGCTCCAATAGATGCACCTTTGTCACAGGCCTTTAATGACAATAACGTGAAGTTGAACACTCAGTTCCTAGGTTCAGTCTGCAGGGTAAGGGTGGCCAGTCTTTGTGGACCTGTGTGTTGGGTAGATCTCTGAGAGCCAATAAGCTCCCAAGCATTCACGATGTTATAATTGCTTTTACATGGTGCTGACTTAATCCGCTCAGCAACTCGGAGTTTTGTATCGTACCTCGTCTCAAACATTCTAAGAGCACCCCAAGTAGCAGCTGCCCCTGTGTGGCACAAGGTGGTGGCCCTGCACCGGCCTGCGTGTGGACAAGAGCCTGTCAGTAGGGGGCGATGATTGATCTGTCATCTCAGCTGTGTCGTTAGTAGGTAATGTTTAGAATTTGCTACATTTTTGACCCAGACGCCAACATGCAAAGGCCTACTCGTTTTGAATTGCACAATTATGTGTTTCACATCCACTGTTCAGTAGAGGGTGCATTATTTAAATAGCTCCTTGTTAATAAGATGTTATCTAAACTAAATTGTTCAATTTTGGCAGAACGTAATCAACCAGGTAGGGTGTTGACTGTTGTGTTGGCTGACTCTTGTGTTGTGTTGCATTATATTTCTAAGTTCACTATGTTTTCTCATTCACTTGTTGTACCTGACGATGGTTGCTTGTGTTCCAATCGAAACGTCGTATTCTATTAAATTTCGTTCTACGAGACTTTACTGAAAGAACCAGAGAATAAGATGTCATCTGATGCAGTATATTTCACTGCAGTAATTAAATGTTGTGCATATGCCTGTCAATAATTTAGAATGAATACTTGTCTGATTGTGTGCGTACATGTAACGCACACTGTACGTACACAATGCACACACAGTGTACACAGTGCACCCACACTGTACACAGTGTGTGTGTGTACACACTGTGTACACACACACGCTCACAGTGTACACACACTGTACACACACTGTGCACACAGTGTACACACACAATGTGTACACACAGAGTGTACACACACACAGTGTACATAGTGTGTGTACACACACTGTGTACAGTGCGTGTGTACACACACAGTGTACACACGCACAGTGTACACACGCACAGTATACACACACAGTGTACACACGCACAGTGTACACACGCACAGTACACACACACACAGTGTACACACACACACACAGTGTACACACACACACTGTACACACACACACAGTGTACACACACACGCACAGTGTACACACAGTGTACACACACACTGTGCACACACACACAGTATACACACACAGTGTACACACACAGTGTACACACGCACAGTGTACACACACAGTGTACACACGCACAGTGTACACACGCACAGTACACACACACACAGTGTACACACACACACACAGTGTACACACACACACTGTACACACACACACAGTGTACACACACACGCACAGTGTACACACACACTGTGCACACACACACAGTATACACACACAGTGTACACACACAGTGTACACACACTCACTGTGTACACACACAATAATGTCCACGTTGTAGTTGCTCAGCTCACACACCCAAGGGGTCTCTGTTCAAGAGATGGAGCAATGGAAATTTAATCTAAAAACTTAAACTCCAATCCAGCTCTGTGACGTCACACTCCACCACGCCCTTGTGGTGCGTGACGTCACCTCCGCGATGGTCACTGCTGAATCTGTGGGAGGGGAGTGTCTTGTATCCCGGAAGTGACGTCATGTCACTTTCTGCTGCCGCGTGACGTCACGAGGTAACAGGAAGCTGCCCGCTCCACGCTTTTTCTGAAATCTGAGGTGATAAATTCTCGTGGTGGTTTGTGGTTGTTGTTTACCAAGGTAGAGCCTCTCGTAGGGATGTCAATTGAGTAGCATTGGAATCGATATCCAGGTTGGAACATCACAAGGCGCGGCCTGGCCACGCGGGGCCTTGCCTCCTGCCCTCGCCTGAGTTAGTTTAAATTAATGTGTCTTCACGCGGCTCGCCACTTTGTAACTCTGTTTTATTGTTACAGTGAGGGGACAAGTATTTGATCTAAATTTAGATTTAAAGCTTCTTTCGTGACTGCAGGGATTCAATTTCTTGGTTCTTTCGGTAAAGTCGTCACGTAGAAGGGAAGTAATAATATAATAAAAAATAAAACATAAAAATAATTATATTACTATTATATTATTTCATTGTTTTATTTTTGTTGTTTTATTACTTACCTTCTACGTGACTTTACCGAAAGAACCAAGAAAAAGTATTTGATCCCCTGCTGATTGTGTACGTTTGCCCACTGACAATGAAATGATGAGTCTATAATTTTAATGGTAGGTTTATTTGAACAGTGAGAGACAGAATAACATCAAAATCCAGAAAAACGCGTCAAAAATGTTATAAATTGATTTGCATTTTAATGAGGGAAATAAGTATTTGACCCCCTCTGCAAAACATGACTTAGTACTTGGTGGCAAAACCCTTGTTGGCAATCACAGAGGTCAGACGTTTCTTGTAGTTGGCCACCACCAGGTTTGCACACATCTCAGGAGGGATTTTGTCCCACTCCTCTTTGCAGATCTTCTCCAAGTCATTAAGGTTTCGAGGCTGACGTTTGGCAACTCGAACCTTCAGCTCCCTCCACAGATTGTCTATGTGATTAAGGTCTGGAGACTGGCTAGGCCACTCCAGGACCTTAATGTGCTTCTTCTTGAGCCACTCCTTTGTTGCCTTGGGCTGTGTTTTTTTGGTCATTGTCATGCTGGAATACCCATCCACGACCCATTTTCAATGCCCTGGCTGAGGGAAGGAGGTTCTCACCCAAGATGTGACGGTACATGGCCCCGTCCATCGTCCCTTTGATGCGGTGAAGTTGTCCTGTCCCGTTAGCAGAAAAACACCCCCAAAGCATAATGTTTCCACCTCCATATTTGACGGTGGGGATGGTGTTCTTGGGGTCATAGGCAGCATTCCTCCTCCAAACACGGCGAGTTGAGTTGATGCCAAAGAGCTCCATTTTGGTCTCATCTGACCACAACACTTTCACCCAGTTGTCCTTTGAATCATTCAGATGTTCATTAGCAAACTTCAGACGGGCATGTATATGTGCTTTCTTGAGCAACGGGACCTTGCGGACGCTGCAGGATTTCAGTCCTTCACGGCGTAGTGTGTTACCAACTGTTTTCTTGGTGACTATGGTCCCAGCTGCCTTGAGATCATTGACAAGATCCTCCCGTGTAGTTCTGGGCTGATTCCTCACTGTTCTCATGATCATTGCAACTCCACGAGGTGAGATCTTGCATGGAACCCCAGGCCGAGGGAGATTGACAGTTCTTGTGTGTTTCTTCCATTTACGAATAATCGCACCAACTGTTGTCACCTTCTCACCAAGCTGCTTGGCGATGGTCTTGTAGCCCATTCCAGCCTTGTGCAGATCTACAATCTTGTCCCTGACATCCTTGGAGAGCTCTTTGGTCTTAGCCATGGTGGAGAGTTTGGAATCTGATTGATTGCTTCTGTGAACAGGTGTCTTTTATACAGGTAACAAGCTAAGATTAGGAGCACTCCCTTTAAGAGTGTGCTCCTAATCTCAACTCGTTACCTGTATAGAAGACACCTGGGAGCCAGAAATCTTTCTGATTGAGAGGGGGTCAAATACGTATTTCCGCCATTAAAATGCAAATCAATTTATAACATTTTTGACATGCGTTTTTCAGGATTTTGTCGTTGTTATTCTGTCTCTCACTGTTCAAATAAACCTACCATTAAAATTATAGACTGAGCATTTCTTTGTCAGTGGGCAAACGTACAAAATCAGCAGGGGATCAAATACTTTTTTTCCTCACTGTAAATATTCATGCCGTTTCTATTTTTCTATTTTTGTTACCAGGCCAAGCCGGCTTGAGCTGCTCTACCGCTCTTGTTCTCAGAAGCTACCTGCCCACAACGCAAGGTGAGGCTTTGTGAACTTGCGTGTGAATGTGTGGACTTAAAACTTTCGTGACTGCAGGAATTCATATTCTTGGTTCTTTCGGTAAAGTCACTTAGACAGAAAATTTAATAAAAATAACAGATGATGAAATAAAAATTATTAAAATTGTAAATAAAGAGAAAAAACACGACGTTTCGATCGCAACACAAGTGTCCTTTATTTGATGTTATTATCTGTTGTTATTGTCTATCTACGTGACTTTACCGAAAGAACCAAGAATACGTGTGGAAATGTGTATCGGTCAAAGACGCTAAACGCGTGCTGATGTTGACTCTAAATGTGGAGGGGAAACCCGGGAGATTCGGAGGAAAATCCACGCGACCACGGAGAGAGAGACACGCAAACTCCAAATATACAGCAGCAGCAGCAGCAGGCGTCAGGGTCGGGATCGAACCCACGACTTCCTGTATACCAGGTGAGGTAGTTAACATCTCACCACGGAGAGAGAGAGACACGCAAACCCCAAATATACAGCAGCAGCAGGCGTCAGGGTCGGGATCGAACCCACGACTTCCTGTATACCAGGTGAGGTAGTTAACATCTCACCACGGAGAGAGAGAGACACACAAACTCCAGTTAGCCTCGGCTATGTTGATTGATCCTCAATTACTTGGTGGAGTGAGGAATCATTTATTCTGAGCAGATGAAGGTGGCCAGGCATGGGTCTGGACACACCACCACCTGTTAACCATGCCAGTGTGTGACAGTGTCAAGTTTGTGTTTGCAGTAAAGTCTATTAACTCTGTTGAACACGGAGGTTATATCAAAACAATAGTTTATTTTTGTTTCCCTCTGGAAGCACATGCAGCTGAATTCGGATCTGTTCATCCCAGCATTCAAGGACATCTAAGTTGTGGTTGAACGTTAATTTATGCATTTCTGCATAGCACAAATAGAATTGTTTTCAACACCCTTTGCAATGTCAGCTGAATTTAGCTTTTATACATATTCCTTTTGTAGCCAGACAGCCGAAATTGTGTGCTCGGAGTTTTGGGTTAACATTCATTTTTAAGATACGAGGGCTCCCAGGCATATTTATGACCACTTGCCCTCTCATTGTGTGCCATCACAGCCCGTGTGATGAATTTGAGTAACGTTTTTACTACATCATGAATATATGAATAAGTATAGACGTGTAAGTCAAGTGTGACTGTACGTATGCGTTCTTCTGTGCCTCGATACCGGAGTGGATATATTCTTAGGTTTTTTTCGGTAAAGTCACGTAGGTAAAAAATGTAAATTAATAAAAGTTAAATAAAACAAATTAAAAAATTCACGACGTTTCGGAAGCAACACAAGCCTCCGTCTTCAGGTGGAAACGTCACAGCCACGACAGCTGTATTTTTTTTTGTATTTCTTTTTTTACTTGATACAGCTGTCGTGGCTGTGACGGTTCCACCTGAAGACGGAGGCTTGTGTTGCTTCCGAAACGTCGTGAATTTTTTAATTTGTTTATTTTTACTTTAATTTAAATTTTTTACCTACGTGACTTTACCGAAAAAACCTAAGAATATGAATCCTTGCAGTCACGAAAGCTTCAAATCTAGAATGGTGTGGACATTCCTATTATCTGTCTGCAGCTGACGCTTCCTTCGACGCTTCCTCTGCAGAATTGGTCTAATGGAGCAAAGGCAGTCAGCACAGCTCGGTACGGCAAGGCAACAATGCGACCAGAGTGCATACAGCACGGATCGCACTGGAAATTTGACACAGCACCAGAGAACACACACAGGAGAGAAACCCTTCAAGTGCACTGTGTGTGGGAAGGCATTTCCACTGTCATCTGTTCTTAAAAAACACCAGAGAACACACACGGGAGAGAAACCCTTCAAGTGCAGTGTGTGTAGCATGGCATTTTCACAGTCGTATCATCTTGAAAATCACAAGAGAACACACACAGGAGAGAAACCCTTCAGGTGCTTTCTGTGCGGGAAAACGTTTGCAAAGTCACAAACTCTTCAAAGACACCAGAGAACACACACGGGAGAGAAACCCTTCAAGTGCAGTGTGTGTGGGAAGGCATTTTCACAGTCACATAATATTGTAATACACCAGAGAACACACACTGGAGTGAAACCTTTCAGGTGCACGATTTGCGGGAAGGCGTTTGCACAAGCATCCGTTGTTCAGGCCCACCAGAGAACACACACAGGAGAGAAACCCTTCAAGTGCACTGTGTGTGGGAAGGCATTTTGTCAGTCATCTACTCTTAAAAATCATCAGAGAACACACACAGGAGAGAAACTCTTCAATTGCACTGTGTGTAGCAAGGCATTTTCACAGTCATCTGCTCTTAAAAATCACCAGAGAACACACACAGGAGAGAAGCCCTTCAGGTGCTTTCTTTGCGGTAAGGCGTTTACACGGTCAGAACATCTTCAAAGACACGAGAGAATGCACACGGGAGAGAAACACTTCAAGTGCCGTGTGTGTGGGAAAGCGTTTGTGGATTCATCTACTCTTGTAAGACACCAGAGAACACACACAGGAGAGAAACCCTTCAGGTCCACTTGGCAGGAAGGCGTTTGCACGGTCATCAAATCTTTAAAGACACCAGAGAACGCACAAGCATCAGAAGATCTGCAAGGAGTGGAGTCTGAAATCAGCTTGTGAAAGTCAAAGTGCCGCAATGAGCCCATCCCTCATCAAACAATAACTGGAGGAAAATCCCAGCTTGGACACTTAAAGGTATCGAGGTGAAATGTGAAGAGGTGATGGTGAAGAGCAAAGAAGTGATGGTGAAGAGTGAAGAAGTGATGGTAAAATGTGAAGATGAAGATTATACTGCAAAATGGGACCTTCACATTGATGGAGGCAACGTGAAGCAGGAGGGGAATTCTGACTGTGAGGCAGAGTGAGGCAACTCCCAGCAGTTTGTGGAGGTGGAGGTGTGGGTGAACTTCTTAGAAAACACAAAGTCAAAGGGAGACCCGGTAGATGTGTCAGCTTGAGACGTCGCTCCAATAGATGCTCCTTTGTCACGGGCCTTTAATGAAAATAATGTGAAGTTGAACACTCAGTTCCTGGGTTCAACCTGCAGAGTAAGAGTGAGCGGCCAGTCTTTGTGTTCCCTGTGGGTTGGGTAGATCCCTGTGTTACGATCTAAACTTCCTGATCTATTATTTTTGCTACTGACATGACTTTACTGAAAGAACCAAAGAGTGTGTGAACAAGAGCCTGTCAGTAGGGGGCGATGATGTTTCATCTCAGTTGTGTAATTTGTCGGTAATGTTGAGAATTTGCTACATTTTGACTCGAGACGCAAGCATGCAATGGCCTACTCGTTTTGAATGACACAATAGTATGTTTTACATCCACTGTTAAGCAGACGGTGCATAATTATTTGAAATAGCTTAACCTGGTGCAGTATATTTCACTGCAGTAATTACATTTTGTTAAAATGGAAAATGTCTGTCAATAATTTAGAATGAACACTGATTTTGTGTACATGCAACATTTTATTTATAAGGGTCAAACATTGAATAAGTGATGTTAGGACAAAGTTTGTGTTTTTGGAAGTAACCTGTACAGATCCCTCAGGTGAGACCCGTTGTTCTTGTGATACAGGTCAAAGGGTAGTATCCACACATGCCCGTTTGCTTTTAAATAAATGTGTGCATCTTTTGATTGAAAGCTTTCGTGACTGCAGTGAACTATTTGTCTTTTGTCAACGTGACAGAATCCTGTGTTGGGATCTTGAGAGATGACGATAGCTGGGGAGGCTTTCATTCAGCCGTAGATCAATCACGGCTGACAATGGTCATTCTAATTACGAGACTTTACCCGGTGTAAGAGGCCGGAGTATACCCAAATGCCGTAGTATACCCACAGGCCGTAGTATACCCACAGGTGTAGTATACCCGGGGTCTAAACGGCCTAGGCTAGATTATAGCCGGGTATATTATGGCCTAGGCCAAATGATGCCCCTCTAGGCCAAATCATACCCCCGTGATAGTAATGGCGTTGAGCGATATACACGTGAATTACTAAATTTTTCCAACATTTTATTTTAAACTGTAAACACATCGACTTTGACTGCTTCAACCAGAAAAAAACTTTAATAATAACCCCTGAACCCTAAAAATGCTTCAATTGATCAAATTTAGATTCTTACTTCCACGCGTACGCGTTTTAGATATCGATTGCAGTTCGTTGTCGCCTGTTCTCTGTCTGGATAATTGCCTTTGAACTTTCACATGGGCAGAGTCTGGCCTGGAGCGGTATGGTCTGGCCCAGTCGAGTTTAAACCCCCGGGGGGTCTAGTTTAGCCTTGGAGACTTCATCCCCCCCCCCCCCCCGGGTATACTCTGGACTGGGCCAAACTATACCCGGGTTTAATCGGGGCAGGGGTTATTTTAGCCTGTCGGGATGGAACTCACGACCTCCTGTACACCCGGCGAGGTAGTTAACATCTCGTAGCCACCGTGATGATGAGAGAGACACCGCAAACTCCAAATATACAGCAGCAGGCGTCGCCATGGTCTGGATCGAACCCACGACCTCCTGCGTACCTGGCGAGGTAGTCAACATCTCCGAGCCACTGTGATGATGATGAGAGAGACACCACAAACTCAAAATATACAGCAGCAGGCGTCAGGGTCGGGATGGAACTCACGACCTCCTGCGCACCAGGCGAGGTAGTCAACATCTCCTAGCCACCGTGGTGATGATGAAAGAGAGAGACACAGACCTGTAGATCAGCCGCGGTAGTCAACATCTCATAGCCACCTTGATGATGAGAAAGACACCACAAACTCCAAACATACAGCAGCAGGCGTAGCCATGGTCTGGATCGAACCCACGACCTCCTGCGCACCAGGCGAGGTAGTCAACATCTCATAGCCACCGTGATGATGATGAGAGAGAGAGACACAGACCTCCTGCGCACCAGGCGAGGTAGTCAACATCTCATAGCCACCGTGGGGCAGTCATGGCTAGAGTGGTGGAGGGGGCGTGTCACCCTCCGTGTCTGGGCGGAGCGTCCGAGACCGGCTCTGGTTTGGCCCCGGAACCGTCTCGTTCTGAGTCGGTCAAGTGGCGTTCTTCGTTCGATTCGGCCGTGTGAGCTTCCCGCTCGGGGCAACCTCCAGGCAGCTTGAGTGGCGCAAGGAAATACACAGGCAGGAACACAATGTTCCACACTGCCCACCAGGGATTATTTGTCTGTCTGTCTGTCGTGCATAAATAAATATATAATATAAACAGCTCTTTGATTGGTGGAGACCTACTGCCGGGTACGGAGAGGGGAGGGGCCTAAGGGAGGGGGGTCAGGGGAGGGGCCTGAGGATATGGGGGGGTGGTCAGGGGAGGGGCCTAAGGGAGGGGGGTCAGGGGAGGGGCCAATAGTGAAGGGGGCTGGCTGCCTGGCTACCTCAAGTCACGTGATCTTGTACACAGGTAGAGGAACAACAGGTTCCATACTTGCCCACCAGGGATTATTTGTCTGTGGTGCACGAATGCGCTGTCCAACCAAGTTCCTACCTGCCCACTCCGAAGGAACTTTTTTTTTAAACGATGCGAAATAACGGCACTCAACTGTTCATTTAACTACTTTCAAGTTTCCGGATGGGAAAGCGGAACAGCGCCGGCTCACCGCGGGGCTTGCGGCGTGGAACCAGCGACTCGTCGTCAACGTCAACTCCACGGCTCGCGAGCCAAACCCTTCGCAAGTCTAGCGTCCACACGGAGACAGACGGACGGGACAGACACACGGAAAAAAACACGTTCCTTCGCAGTGTGCAGGTCGGAACTTGGTTGGACAGCGCATTCGTGCACGACAGACAGACACATAATCCCTGGTGGGCAGTGTGGAACCTGCTGTTCCTCTACCTGTGTACAAGATCACGTGACTTGAGGCAGCCAGGCAGCCAGCCAGGCAGACAGCCCCCTTCACTATCGGCCCCTCCCCCTTGCTTAGGCCCCTCCCCTTACCCCCTCTCCCTTAGGCCCCTCCCCTTACCCCCTCTCCCTTAGGCCCCTCCCCTGACCCCCCCCTCCCTTAGGCACCTCCCCTGACACCCTCCTCCCTTAGGCCCCTCCCCTCTCCGTTCCGGCAGGAGGTCTCCACCAATCAAAGAGCTGTTTATATTATATATATATTTATGCACGACAGACAGACAAAAAATCCCTGGTAAGCAGTGTGGAACTTATTGTTCCTACCTATAAAACGAAAAAGCAGTTTAAATAATTACTAAGAACTGTTGATCCCAATTATTGAAACAACTACCAAAAGAATTTTTTAATCATGACTTGGTTCCACCGAGATTTGAACTCAGATCGCAGGATTCAAAGTCCTGAGTGCTAACCATTACACCATGGAACCTTCACACAGAAAGCTTGTTACACAGTCAACACGAGAGTGGGTTCAATCAATTGTATTAAATCATTAAAACAATAATGCTGCTTCCAACTTTTTTTAAAGAATGAGTGGTTGCTGTTAAGAGATTATGAAGTTAGTAGGGCAAGTGTGCCGGTTATAATGGTTATTAGCACTCAGGACTCTAAATTCTGTGAACTATGTTCACGTCTCGTTTGTAACCCCGCCACGTTTAAAAAAACATGTAGTTTTGTCATTAAAATTACGAGATGTGAGTTTTAATTTGACTTCAGGATCTAAGGCAACCTGACTGTTGAGCCAAACGGGAGTGCTGTGCTCCCAAAATGACTTCACGTGACAACCACTAAATCTGCAATCACTCATCTGATTTCCAACATCGTGCTCAATTCCTAGAAGCCACGGTGACACCTGCCGATGTCCCCTCTGTCATTTGTCTCGATTTATCTTCATTTTTTCTCACGTGTGTAATGAGCCTGTATCATCAGTTGGTTCCATGGTGTAATGGTTAGCACTCAGGACTTTGAATCCTGCGATCCGAGTTCAAATCTCGGTGGAACCTGTGTTGTGCATTTTTTTAAGATTTGCTTCTAAATAAATTATTGGGGAGAGAAAAACGGGGTTAAACACGCACATTATTCACACATTTGGTAATGTTTTATGATAGTGTAAACGTATGAACAACAGGCAGTACATCCATAAATTAAATCTAAGTGTGCTAGCTCAGGTTTGAGTGCCCTAGAACACGTGCACCAGAGATGGAGTGATTAAATAAGCGTTGCTCCACAATCAATTGTTTCTTCACCCGATGTGAATTTGCGGCAATGTGCGGATATCTTCATCCAGCGGTGGTTAGATCGTTGCCGCAGGTTTTTCTTTTTTGCATCAATGAAGTGGTCTCAATAAAAATTTGAATCGATTAATCACTGACCAACAAGCAGAGCTTAAGCCCTCTAAGGAGTTAGTGCGGTAAAGACTTTTATTTGTCTGAAGGCCGTTTACGTGGAACTTTTCAGGGCGTTAAAGGCGAACTAGAAAACGGCGCCTGCTAAGGAATTGTGAACTGAGCTGTGGTGGGAGCTGTAGCATTGAAATCAGCTCTTGTAAGAGCAAGATGGGTTTCAAGAAAACTTACGAGATCCAAAGAAATGTAACTTGTCAAATAAGAACGAATACATTGATTGAACTCGACATACGGAGGATGTATTTATTGCAACACAAAAAGACACTTGGTTCCACCGACGTTTGAACTCAGAACACAGGGTTCAGAGTGCTGAGTGCTAACCATTACACCATTGAACCCATTACAGCTCAGTTCACAATTCCTTTACTCGACATGCGGAGACGTATTTATTGCAACAATAAAAGACAATTGGTTCCACCAGGGATTATTTGTCTGTCTGTCGTGCATAGCCCCTCCCAAACACATACGCTCTCGGATGGGTTGAACCAAGTTCCTACCTGCCCACTCCGAAGGAACGCGTTAACTCAGAACTCAAGATTTTAATTGTAACAAAAGTAGAATTTAAATATTCGTAAAATTATGGGAAGGTCCCACCGAGGTTTGAACTCGGATCGCAGGATTCAGAGTCCTGAGTGCTAACCATTACACCATGGAACCAACTGATGAACTGGGCTCATTACACACGTGAGAATTGAGAAAAAGTTATGACAAATATAGCCCAATTACAGAGGGGCGATGGGTGAGGTGAAATCGTGGCATCTAGGAATTGAGCACGATGTGGGAATTCAGATCAGTGATTGTGTAGTGGCGGTACGCGCTGACAAAGGGGCGGCGTGTGTGTGAGCGCGCCGGGCGTGGCTACATCGAGTGTGGTGGTGTTGACGCGCGACCGACAGTGATGGATCACGGGGCGGCGCGGGGTGCGTGGTTGTGCGCGCTGACACAAGGTGGGAAATAGGATCGTGGGCAGCGCGCAGTGATTGGTCAACTGGGGTGGGTGCTCTCAGCGACGTCCGCATGGAGGACTATAAAGGGGGACACGCGGGAGCACTCGGAGAGTTGATAACCAGTTGAAGATCGAAGACGGAGTTGAAGAGGTAGGGCCCCGAGACCCCTAGTCCCACTGTCCTTGTAAGGGCCGGGACCCTGTGCGGCTCAGAGGCGAGACTGTGGGACCCGTGGTCTGACGTCCATGTGGGACGAGGCTGTGGGACCCAGAGTCGAGACGGACACCCCAGCCGGGTGGGTTCCGAGAAGCTACGGGGCGTAAGAGCCCGTGAGGGAGTAGCCAGGGGAACATCGTGGGTTAGGCTGCAGTTAGCCACCCGTGTAATATAAGTTGGTGTTAATAAAGAGTGTGCTACCCGTCAAGTCGTCTCCCGCCAAGTTACTACTTTACACATTCATTAGGCTCCGGATTATATCTATGCAGCTTGAGCATACAGCGCAACAATCGTCTACAAGACAGTTGTGAAAAGGTAAGAAAAGTTCGTACGTTATTTTAGGTTCCCATATTAATGTTGCATGAAATAATACGATCGGGCCTCCACTTGGTTACAGAACACAGACTAGAATAATGCACAGGATGGCTAAGAAATGTACATGACTCCACTCATTCCAATTGCGAGCCTGGGCATTCCTCCATAAGCTTGGATCCAAATGTAATGGCCGAAATTAGAAAACGCTCACCCCAAGCAAAGGTGCAGCAGCCAAACGGACTTCCAGGCAGTCGACCGAAGCATCCTAATGGTGTAGAGGGGCCTCCAGGATGATTGGTCGGGAGGAAAAGTTTGAAGGGATGGGATAAAAGGTTCAAACGGGAAGCAGAGTTGAACCA